AGTGGGCCCAGAAGAGGGCAATCTGTGATTAGCCGTTAAAGGCTGGTGAAACAGTTAATTTCGGACGAACCGTTCGCTGTTCGTAAGAGGAAAGAAATATCAAAAAAAGCAACTAAAGATCTTTTTTTTCCATGTCATCCACCCATCCGTCCATAGGCAAACCGTTTCGCGATAGATTGGTAGCACTCAAGTCGGATATGCTAGCTTATGCGGCTTACTCATTAAACTCGAGTCCTTTCGGTTACTATATGTTTGCGTCGATAGCCCACGCACTTGCTGAGCAGCGCTTCACTTCTTACGAAATCTTCATAAAATTGCTTTTGACGAAATCGTTACGAAGATGGCTCGATGACTGCTTTGTCTCAAAAGGGTAACAGTTTTTTTTTTTGATCTGACATCCACAATACTTCGAAATACTTCGAATATAATAAACAACAAACATATGTTTCCTATATAAATATCCCGTGTTTCTTATGTGCATACCTGGTAGTTTACAGGATTGCAGGACGGCTGGAATGGGAAAGCTGAGAGTTGAGAGAACAGGCAATGGGATGCTCTAAGGTTCGTGAAATGTTGAAGAAGATCAAGGCAGAGTTTACAGAAATGCCCGCGAATTAATGGTAAATGAAAATGAAGCGGTGAAGAGTTGTCGAAGTGCATGGATAACACGCTTGTTGGCTTGACTGATTCAGATTTTCATTCTGAATGACGCTTATTTTTCCTTTCTGCGATGTTGTATTTAAACATGAAGTAGTCTCCTTCCCTGATTCACTTTAAGATTAATAAACTTTGTTTCCTTTTGCTTTTTCTTATTTTATTATAAAAACAATTTTTTTTTTTTTGTAATAATAATGGGTGAAAAAGAGATGAAGGAAAACCAAAAGTATACATAATCTCCGGCGTATGTCTTCGTATAAAAATATTGTATATAAAAAAGAGAAATTTACGAAATCTTTTTTAAAATTGCTTTCCCTTTAGGGACAAATATGCAGAGACGATGTATGCATATATGTAGAGAAACTTTCTCTTAGTTGCTTACTACACACTTTCCTATCTAAGCGAACGCACTTCCGTTTAATAGCGTAACAGTGCAATATGTGTTAAACCAGAATTTTATCTCGATGAACGTGTAAATTTACATTTACTGTTATTTTTATATTTTGTTTTTTTTTTACACCAAGGTACTACTACTATACAACGCATTCTTCTATACATTTACTGTAGTATAATATAGCATAGCAGTGTGTGTAGATTATTTAAATCTGGGAGTTAAAGTGAAATTAAAAAAGTGTTTGTAATTCGCGACTAACAAGCTGCTTATACGTGATGTATATTAGCTGTCACATATATCGAGACGCGACTAATGTACTGAATATGAGTACATGTGCGCTGGCGTATTTTTTTCCTTATTTTCTTTGTTTAGTTTATACATATAAAGTTGATCATATGATGAATCTTTTACCTAAGGACGTTTCTACGTTTACTTAAAATCAAAAAAAGGAAATCTTGAAAAAGTAATGAAAAAAATCAAGCAAAATTTATTATTGGGTTTGTTATGTACAAGTACAAAATTTTCAGTTGTCAAGGTTGGCCGTTAATTGTCTTACGTCACTTCGCCGAAGGCAACTCTTCATTTATTTTTATGATAAAATACAAATCTTGAAATAATAATAAAATACATACCTACACACATAAAATACTTACATCAAAATGTTCGCAGCATAAAAAGGAAAGCTTCAGGCACTCTAAAGAGCGTAGACATTCTTCATCAGTGCGCAATTCTGAATCGATTAAGCCATCTCTGTCCATATGTCCATTCGTCGATTTGTGTCCTGTTCGAGCACAAGCCGCAGTGAAGCATAAACTGAACGCAACTTCCTTTCGCAAAGAAAAATTTTTGGTTTTTTGCTCGTTACTCATAAATTATAAAAGATAGATAGATAGAAGGATAAAATTTTCCACATTTACTTTTCGGAAAACCCTGCTATTCAAAGTTATAACAAATTGATTAAATTTTTTTTCACGTTTCATAACGTAAACAAGACGGAATATTTAAAAGATAATTCTAAAATAAATATAGAAGACATCACGACTTGGTGGATTAATTTATTTTTAAGAATACCACCGATATGTGTATCAAACAAAAGGACTCGGAGAGTAGAATGCGATAAGCTAAGTGTTTTAATTCTAAATTAATTATGGTGATCACGACGTAGTGGGTTTATTTTTCCTTAACAATACCTTCTACTTCAGTGAAAGGTGGAAGATAAATTTAATCGCATTCACAAAGATCCGCATCGCAAAGATTTTAATGGCGATAGGCATGCGAGATGTGACCCCAGCCGTATCTAACTTTTGAACTTATTTTCATGCAACGTTCTACTTTCCATTCAAGCCCTTCTACGACAGCAAGACTAAACCGTGAACTGATGTGTTCCAGATTTATAAAAATTTAGTTTCTTTGCCAAAGATATTACTAATCCTTACACATTTCCATTGTAAGGTAGTAAAATTTTGTTCTTTTTGTCACATAAACGCTTGCTTTTCGCGAGAGTCCTTATCCGGTGTGACGACCTTGATACAAACCTAATGCTGCATGTAATATAAGGACGTAAAATTTGATCTAATTGTTAACGGTCAGTGGTAAACCATGATTCTTACAAGAAAATTGCCTTTCTATCTTCCCTAATCTCTAATTCTAATTAGCATTAGAACTTAGTCTAATCGGCGGCATATGCCCGGATTATCCGATCTCCGATTGTCGAATGAGATTAAACATATCTGGCTCGTCCGTCAAAGTCATAAGGTAACTTACTTAACCTATTCTTAGCCTATTCTTAACTCTTAAATGCATCGCGATGTAATTGCGATCGTATCTTCAAAACCTGATATCTTTTTATGTAGCAACCTTTCCATAGTGTGTTTTTAACCCTTAGATGCATATTGTTACCAATTTTATTTCGGGTTTAATTTTGTTAAACACCTAGTTTGAAAGTTAAGTAAAGCTGGAACGTAGACAATTGGCAACAGTATGCATATAAGAGTTGATCGACAATGTGGCATTAAAACCGGATCCGACGTCGGGCCTCTCGATTGAACGGCAGACTGTATCAGGCCGAAAGACAGACAGACAACCTAAAAACGATTCAGAGTTGATTGGTATAATAAATATAATAAACCCTTGTCTTATGTGTTAAGCACTTTTTAATGAAACACACGATAGAACAAGAAATTTAAAATTATTTTTTTCATTAGCATTAAACTTTTAATAAAGTTAATCGGCAAAGTGAACAATTTCCGAAGTAGTTATATTCGCTTATGATCTTAATTAGGAAAAATCAAGTTATACCGCAAATGCGAATAACACTAAGCGAATATCATTGAGCTGCAATCGAATCGTGACGCCCGCGATAGTTAATTCGCTTTCCACTCTGCCTTCCTTTTATTTGATACCCAATTGATCATAGTAAGATGCTAAGAGAAAACGAGTCTCGAGCGTCATCCATATCGCCAAATGTGGACCTTGTAAGTAAAATATCAATTGAATGTTTTCTTAACGACAATAGAATAATAAAGTATAAGTATAATTTGGTTTGATAGCTGCTCCGTTATAGTTCGCGAACAAAAGTTCGTTAGCATTACTGATTTTGGGGAAATAACATCGGCCACAACACAGCACATCAAGAAAGGTTTTATAATACGATATAAGGCGAAAATTAAAATCTTTGCTCGTATGAACTTAAACAATGCCACTTATCAATCTGCTCTATGGACGAATTGACTTCAGAATTGGGCCATCGCCACTATCCCCTTACTGTATCCCTTTATATTGTAATAAAGTTGATGTAGTATCGTGAGTTTATGTTATCTGTTTAAGCCCTATGCTACTCGGCTGCAGTACGCCAAGTCTATCCGTCTTTTATAATGCCAAAGTGTCTCGGCATAAGACGGTCACTAATCTTGATGGTTCAGGCGGATTGAACGCCTTGTGTTCTTAGCGAGTAAAACGCTAGCTTGAATTGCTTTATGAGAACTCTGATGAGAACTGATTTTCTTTATTTTCTTATGCACTATTTATATTACATTTTTACACTAAACTATTCTTATCTTATTCTAAACAGGATTGTAATTGCTTACTAAATTATCCTTATCACACACTAGATTATTCTTATATAAACAGAATTATCACTGTTTACCTGCGAAGTGAATTTATCAAAAGGGTTATGCTGAAGTGGCATAATTTTGTCACACTTCAAGTGGATGCATACGATAGTATGCGATCACACTACAATATGCTTTCTGTTCATGTGCCACAATATGTGCAAACTGGACTAGAGACTAATAAAATGCCGCAGCATCTTTCTTAATGACTTCACTTCTGATGTATTTGTAACCATCATCGAATTATAGAAGTTAACAATGTTCGGTTCCATAGTGGTCTCAACTCTGATCCCACAACGGGTTAGCTAATGCAGGTTAATGCATGCGCCCGCAATTCAGCATTCATTGCAGACGCTTATGTAAGCATATCCTTTATAAAGGTAATATAAGCACATTTTTTCGTAAACAACGTAAACATATTTTATTAGAACGATATGTGTATATAAATGATTATTGAGGTAGTTTTATAGCCTTAGTTCTAGCTAAGTGCGGTATGTTTCCTTGTCAATACTTTATAATAATAAAAAATAAAATTGTTTAAAATAAGAACGCGTTTCTATTTAAAAAGGGGTCAGTTGGACCACATGGGTGGAGATTCGTTCGATTAACTTGGATGTGTGTGCTTTTTTATTAACGCTTATCTCAAGTATCTCAAGTTTATTTAGTCTCTACAAAGAGTTCTACGGTAAAGTTTTTATAAGACAAAGTTGGTCGTTCCTCTCATTTATAAAGAAAGTGAAATCGACCGAGATGGCAACCATAAAATGTGCATTAAAGAAGAATTGAATACAACTTTTGCTTTTCGCACAAGATAAGCAAATCATACAAATGATCGAATGAAGAGGAAAACACGTGTCTCTCCCTGTATGCGAATTTAGAATGCAATATTTCTGAAATATTCCTGAAAGATTAATACAAGGTGCGAACAAAGTGAATACGTTAAAATTAGTGACATTGTCTCAGCTTTTTTGGTGCGGAACCATATATACATATAAAGTGTTTCACTGAGAAGCACATGTTCGATAAAAATCGCGAACACTGTTCAATCTGCATGAAATATTATAATTAATTATACGTTTTTCTATCTGTAGACTTCATATTTAAAGCAAAATATTTCATTTATTTCAGAAGACAATGGATACATCGTGCGGTGTATGGGATGATGGTGATGCTAAAGCACCTGACTTACCTAATGAGTTGTGGGTACAAATTTTTAATAATTTATCGCATGGGGACTTATTGGAAACGCGTGTGGTGTGCAAACACTGGTACCAACTTGTTTGCACGTCTCAACTAAAGCGTAAATCAAAATTAGTTATTACAAAGCGAAATTTGAAAGACATTTTCAACCTAATGGAATACAAGGATTTGAAATATGAGCGACTAGAGATATATGGTAAATGGGAGAATTTCAGCAGCGAGGAGCGGGAGTTTTTAATAAAAATCTTCAAAAATTTGGAATCTGATATTACTCAGCTGAAACTTTACAGTGCCTCTTTTTTGCCGCTGTTGAACAATTCTTTGCCGAATATGACGGAATTGGATTTGTCATGCATGCAGCCGTGGGATAACTTGTCGATAGACTTCAAGACATTTTTAAATGTTAAATCAATATTGATGCCTCGCAGCCACAGTCGACTATCTCAATTGATGTGGGGGTTGATCGAATTACCTGAAATACGCTTAGAAAGGTTAAGCTTAAATATTAATCCTTATCGTTTTTGCTTAAATACGGCTTCTCCGCTTTTTTTCCCTTCTCCCCGTGAAGGGTTGATTATGCTCGCAGCGTATGCATCCTCATTGCGTTGGCTCAAATTTTCTCTTTCCGGACCGCTGGCTGAGGGGCAACGTTATATGAAAAATGTGTTTAAAAAGTTTACTCAACTGGAGGTATTAGATATAACTGATGTTTGTAACCTATACACAAGAACTATGCTACAGAATCTTTCGGAGCGAAATCCTCTTAAAGTAATAGTTTTAAAAATATATTCGGATGATTATGATTTGCTGGAATTAATTCAAAGAAAGTGGTCTAACACTTTAGTACGTGTAGATTTGACGTGTCACATGATTGGAAACGTTGCCACACCATTAAACTTTACAAGCAGTAAAATTCGTCGCTTGTTTTTGTTTGCTAATTCCATGGATCCTGAATATATTCTCAATAGTATAGCTCCAACTATCAATAAAACATTGACTGTGTTAACGTTGCGCAGCCTATCCTCGGTCAGACAATTAGACGGCAATTTAATCCAACGTATACCTTATTTGATTGCCCTCGATTTGGGAACACCTTGTTTAAGGATAACCGACAAAGAAATGGATTGCATTTTTCGTCATCTCATACATTTACAATTCCTTGCTCTGGAACCATGCGAAGGGGAGAATTATGACTTTCTTCGCTCCGCAGCTAATATTAGTAATTTAAAACGTCTTCAAACACTTAGATCATGTTTTTGTCCTATCAAGGTTCTTCAGATTTTAAATTTAAATTTTAAATTTATGGAATTGAAACGCCTTTGTAGAAAGTACTGTGAAAGATGTGGAGGTCTCTATGTTCCGCCTGACGTCTATAACACATATTTTCCTGCTCTTGAAGAACTATCTTCGTTCATGTTCGAAGTCCCCGATAAGGACGTTGAAGAAATGCGTAAAAGTTTGCCTCGTATCCGTAGATATGGAGACGAAGAAATAATGGTTGAAATATTCTAACAATTTTTTGTTTAGTATTAGATTAATAATGTGAAAATAATTTGTTCATAAATAAATCTGTTTTTTTTTACTCAGATGCATCGGTGATGCCATTTATTGTCTACAAATCTTGTAAAATGACACTAACTGGTAAACGCACTTATTCCTAAGTACGTTGCTGGAGTAGATGGTTAAAAATTTAAAGCTAATATTATATCAAACCTCTTTCTCTCTCTCTCTCTCTCTCTCTCTCTCGCTCTCTCTCTCACTCTTTCTTTCACAGGAGATTTTTTTTTAATAAAGAAATAAAAGCATTGTAAAAGGGAAAGGCCGACCTATACATAACCTTAAAAAATCTCGCCCTTATATGAGAACCATAATGTCTCTCAAAACGTAAACTGACTTGGTCGAGATTTAGCAAAAATTCAATTTCTTTATCGAGGATGTTATCATTTTTTACGCACTTTTCTTATAAACTAACACAAATTAGTTTTTGTTGTCATACATAAGTCTGTGAGGACCCTTACGTGCAGGCTGTTCGAAAAATAGATCTGTGTAGTCTTAATTTATTACAGTAAATTTATATATCCATCGAAAGTTGTGAAGATGAATTCGAATTTACTTACCAAAGACAACTATTAACTCTCTGCTAAGTACTTAGTATCAAGATATTATCAGATTTGGAAGCCGTCCACTTCATCCAAATTATGAAACGTATGCCATTTTTATGGACCATATATATACTTGAAGAATTCCATGTAGTATATAAGTAATGTTTTGTTAAGCATAAGTATTCCTCTTCATTTATCCTATTTATTACATTGTATTACTCGACCCAGCTTACGACTGCGAGTTCATTTTAAATGTCTATAATTTTGAACACTACTGGATCTACTGGATCTGTCATAACGAGACATGTGTTTCGTCATGTAAAGATCTTAACTAATAGCTTTGACCACCATTTAACTTAACTACTCCGGACAGTGGACACACTTCTCCGTTGTATCGGATCGTCTTGCGACTCATCGGTCTTTGCGATTTTCCTAAATTGCAATAAAGGGCTGAAACTCTGACAAATCCTGATAAAAAAACCAATTAATTGAATTCACAAACATTCACATGGCGATTGCAAGGAGAATGCTATAGTTGGGCAAGGCAGATCAATAGATATCCTGAACCACCTCGCTTTGTTACAGTTCTTTACTCGTTTTGGTAATAATACATCAAAAACTACACATTATTTTCATAGTCGTCGGAAATGTAATATGGAGTGGGGCCCAAGAAATAGATCCATGTGGTTTAAATATGGTGCAACTGATTTTTACGGCAAATTACTCTTATGAACAAATAAAACACTAACAATTAGGCCGCTTCGGTCTATAAAGATTTACATTCTCTGAGAATGCTTATAATGGGGTGGCATCGAAAAAATGGCACGACGGGATCGAAATTCGGTAACGTTGACTTCTTTGTTCATTCACTATTATGAAACATGATTTTTCTCCATGGAATATTCAAACTTACACCTGTTTACCATATAAAGACTCATTTTTCGTAGGAACGATTATATAAGAGGGTGTTCAAAAAATTGCCTCAGCTGAATGAAATTTTTCATATCAATTTTTAATGCCACAGCACCATTACTCAGCGAGTTTTATTGAAAAGTTTTAAATGTATTCAGTGTCGTGAATGCTCGGAAAAGCGAAACGATCCGAATCATTTTTCATAGCATTCGCTCTAGGTTTATAGCACGTCAGGGCCTCAAATTTCATCAACACATCTGAAATCAGAATTGCGACCTGTAGGTTAAACACCATGACATATAGACAGAGACTGGACGGACACACGGGCAGACATCAATCAATTCCGAATTGATTGGTATAACCAAAGGTGGATGTATCTTAAGGCCTATATTTATTCGCACAAAGTTAATGTACTCTTGTACCGTAAGTGGTGTAGGGTACAAAAAAAATTGCAAGTTTTATGAATTTCAAAACAATTTCGTCAATAATTTAATTTCCATTAAATTAATTAATTCAGAGCTTAAACTATAATTCAGAAATTGTAGCTTTTTTTCCATGAAATCAAGGTCAAATTTATTGTTTGCAGTAAATGATAAACAAAGTTATTTGCATACACACATATCACCGGGATGTCCAGGTCATAAGAAAACACATTAAATTTGCATAATAATAAAAGTAATGTATTATGCATTTATTTATGTATACACACACATATATATTTATGCATCTGTGTAAGCTTATAGCATGCTTGAGTTAATATATATTTTAATTTTAATATTTAAATATATATGTATATATTATAGGTACATATATATTTATTACATATATTTATTATATATATTCACATAGATTTCAGATTTTAATTGAAATGATGCTTACCTGGATGTGTCTGCGTGTAATACCATAGCTCTTTTCTATTCATTGTTTCCTCGCTACGCTTATAATAGAACAGAGAGATATATTAAATTTTAATGATTACACGTGGTAGCCACAATACTTACTAACCTTAATAATTCAAATGCCACATGACATGAATACATTTACAAAAAATGCATATCATTAGCGTGAATCATGTATTTGAACAATCAATGCACATATACGACCATTAAGAGATCTATGGAGGATATCTAATGACTACATAGGTGTGTAATTATCACATTTCATTTTATTCTTACTTATCTGCCTGAGTACATGCGGTTTTTGCTAACATTTGTATTTATTTATATTCGATACTATTACGAAAAACTGAATCGACGTAATAAAGGGATTTTTCTTATAAGCATTGATTTTTTACTTTGATTATCCGAACGGACAATTATTCTTTGATCGGCTTCTGTTAACTACCCTTAGTCTGGGACGGCCAATTTTGGACAAAGAAATGGAATAAATTTTTCGTTATCTCATATATTAGAGGCAACTTTCCTTGGAAAGATGTGGAAGCGAGTGTGATTATTGTGTGAATATTTGTAATTTGGAGAGCCTTCATACACCTAAATCACGTTTTTGTCCCACTGTGGTTCTTCAGATTTCAAATTGAAATTTTAAATTTAACAAAGTAAGAGAATTTACGCTAATGTCATGTGAAAGAAATAGTAGTAGTTAGCCTATAGCCTATTTTCGTGCTGCTGACCAATTGGCCTATGAACTTACACGTTCTTTTCTGTAGGGTGTTAATAAAATACGTAATAGTCTTCCGCGTATAAAACGAGCTTGTCCTTCCTATTAATTTCGACAAATACAGATGAAAGCGGTCTAAAGAAGAAAAGAACGAATTTAAGAAATGTTTACTGTTTGGTAACTTGCGCTTAAAAACAAATGGTTTCACTTAGAGTGAATGGTTCCAATGATTGTCGACGGATTCGAATAACAGTGACGAATAAACTCATGTAATTAAACTCGACGTTGAAGCGGTATATACCTTGAGTGGAGAAATATTTCGCGTAAAGAAATGTTACCGCTGTGTTGGTGGTGAAAAATTCAAAGCTGAGGGCTTATCACCCTAGCGCGCATCATATGATATCCATCGACTATCTTAAAAAACGGCAAAAGATGAGAAATGAGAATTACATAGCAATGTGGGAAAGCGCATTGCTGATAGATTGAAGAAAGATGTGTCGCGTTAGTACGTCAGACTGTAGTCAGGTACAAGTTGTTTGGAAAGCCATGTCGTCCTCTTAAAGCACTTAATTAATCGAAATATCTCTTTCATTGCTGTAGAATACTAGTCCTCGATGTGACTATTCACGAGCACTATACAGCCCACGTTATTCGTACATCAATGCAAGCGTATCGACTATGTTATGCGCGCTAGTCTCTATTTTTGGGAAAATCAAAAGATTTTATTTTTATAAGATCCATACTTTTATGATGAGAATTGATCGCTTGTTAGTAAATAGTAATTAGATATAAGAAATAACTATATTGAATTTCGACTACATATTGAACAGTAACTCTCTACGTGGCGAAAAGTTCTTAGTTCTTTATTTTATAATAAAAAAAATAAACAAAATAAGGAAGGAGTTGCATTAGGCGGAACGTTGTAGGAAATTACTGAAATTGCTTGGTGTTGATAATAACGTTTTAACTCGTTTAACAAATAGATATAGGTAAACGCCGCCGATAGCTTAAATGATATTCCGTACCGACTGGTTAATGTTGGAATGAAGCCTTTATGAACCGCGGCCTAATAATTATTTAAATATTTTATTTTAATGCAGTTTTTTCGTTTTCGGCTTTGGTTCTTCATTAACATGGACTTAGGTCATAGACGATAAATGAATGCCGCACTATTAGTAGTTTTGCTTCTTAGATAGATTTGATTGTACACGACATTGCTTGCTTTCCAATTTAGTTAATTAAGAAGAAGACGACAAGACAGACTAGTGTGACAAGTGAAAATCATATTTTAAAATTGATTTAATTGCCTTCAAGGACATATATTCCATCGGTGGGTAATGGCGCCTTAATGGCTTTAAGATTGAAACATACCGATATACGTATTGCTACAGTTATAGGTCAAAATGACGTATAACATTTATAGAATCGCTACAGTGACCGAAGTGAACCTGGAAAGCTGAAACATATAGCCCGAAAATAATATGACATCGTTTGGCGTATGCAATGAAAGAACCCGGGTTGCAGAACCATTCGATCTAATTGGACCTAATAAGGCTTGACGTTCTTTATGTACCGATAATAAAATAGTATTTCAGATGATATACATAGGCTAGTGCATAGTTAGCATTTATTGTAAATTATGTAACTATTTTATGTTTTTAGAAATCCAAGTACTTTGTGTAAATTTTATATCTTCATTTTGAAAATTGTCTAGGTAGCGTGCTTGTTCGGAACAACATACTTAAAATTGTATGTAGCCATGGATATTTTTGCCTTCTTTTTAGTAACGCTTTCGTTTTTGAGAATACTCAGACGCCTAGGATGGACAACGTCGTTGGTATGTGTAGAGTTTACTTTTCTAAATAATTGCCGATATTTTCTTTTCCACTATATTCAGAAAGGAATACAAAAATAGGAAATAGGAATAGGAAAGTGTTGCTGGTTAAAAAAGAAAATCTACAGATGCGAAGAAA